TCCTCCTCCTCCTCCTCCTCCTCTCTCTCTCTCTCTCTCTCTCTCTCTCTCTCTCTCTCTCTCTCTCTCTCTCTCTCTCTCTCTCTCATCACAGTCCATCATCTTACCAAACAATGATGCTTAACAGGACCTATAATTTTTCCCACTGAAGTATACTTATGTCAAGATTTCTCAAAGGAAATTTGCCATTTCCCCCCAACAAAGTTTAGAGCTTGTTGTACTCAGTAATGGTTAGGTTTTACTCCGAATTTGCAATACAAGCAGAAAAAACATTACAATCATGTAAGGTAAACCATCACCAATTTTATAAAACATCAAAAAGAGTATGACCTGTATATTGTCATTAAAAATTTCTTCCACAGAGAGGTATTCCTCAAAAAGTGACTGAACAATAACATGAGCATGGCTTTCTCTTCCACCTTCATATGACTTCGCAAGACTCATCAGAGGCTCCACAAGCCTTTCTTGGGTAACTCTCTCTTTTTCTGTACAGGATAAAAGGTATGCCTGCATACCCAAAGTACATAAGCCAATATCCATCACTGGATATTTCTATCACTTAAGCAGGCAATAATGGGATCTGCCAGATACCATATTCAGACTTATATAGGGAACAATAAATGACATCTAGATTAATACTAACCTCCATTACCCCCTTCAACATTTTGGCTGGAAATTCCACATTCTTTTGTGTACTCAAAAGGACTTCATACTCCTTAAATATTGAATCCAACTGTAAAAATATTGATACACAAATGCATTAATTTTATCCAGATCAAACAAGTTGTAGTAAATGGGATACAGGGATAGCATAAGGGATTAAGTAAAACCATAATCCATTGGTGTCATCATCATCCATTAAAATGAGTGAGAGACAGAGGGGTGGGGAGTCCCCTTGGGAGAAGGGGGAGAGAGATGGTGACCCACACTCCAACCAGACATGGCCTCAATCATGGGTCCCACACACCATCTATCAATTTCCATCAAGTCAAAAGGTGGTGATCACCCCAATGGACAATGTTATAACCATATGATGTCGTATACTTTCCCAAGGAAGACTCAATTTTCACCATAGTACATGAGTTCTAAGGATTGTAATTTACCGCATTTCGTAGTTCCTTCGGAAGACGGGTAGCCAAAACAGCCATGCATTCTTGCCATTGTAGGAAGGGAAGCTCAGGGCTATCCAGGCTATTTAGCAAATCTTGAACCACCTGTAGGAAGAACATTTAAGTACTGTTATGATTCCATATTTGATCTCAGAGATGGCGTCATAATATATATAACCATTCCTCATCAATCCTCAATCCTAAACCCCCAACGATGCCATGGATGACATTTCCAGAGAAGATAGAGAAACAGAAAAGGACAGGACAGAATAAGCATTGGAGTCTTAAACATTTGAGACTGTACTTGAACACCGATTAAAAAGCTTGCTGGGCCAACTCGGAGAATTCGGGACTCGTCCGAGTTGGCCCAGATCAGATGGCCCATGATTCCATAGGGAGAAGCCCAAAACTCGGTCAAGTATCCTAGTTTAAGGTATCCTTTGGCTATTTCTGTATGAAATTGGCTGAGCCGGACCGCAGACTAGCCTCCAACTTGGCTGATTCTATGACTAACTCTGGGAAGCTATTCATAGCCGAGAACCATATTTTAAACACTGCATTTGAAAATTTGTTTTCAAGACCAAATACAACTTCGAAGCAATTTGCGATACCTAAAACAATGGGACTGCTTCCACCTCAACAATCCATTAATCAATGCGGGGACATGACTTCATTCAGTTAACAATCGGTTCTCTTTCTATAAAATGAAGGGAGTGTGAACTATAACTCAATGGATAAGGATAACTATAGTCAATTGGGGTCATCACCATCCAATGAAATGATAGGTGTGGAGAGAGAGGGATCAACCACTGGCTCGTATCCCACTTCTGGGGTGTCCCAGTCTCTGCATAATTGTCCATCAAATAATTGGAGAGTGATGAACCCAACAGGCTACAGTTTTTCCATAGTCAATACTTGTATACTATACTTTCCCTTAAAACACAACACATGATGTTTCAATAAGGACAGGGATTTATCAATCTTTCGTTGAACCTTTTAGAACATTACCGCTACCAATTAATTGACAGGACAAAACCCATCAAAAGATCAACACCTAAGTTCACAGGACAAATGTAGGATGTACCTCATCAATATTATGCTCATAGCCAGCAAGAATCATCCGTGCAGCATTAATACTCGCAGCACATCTCTGATGAACTTTTCCAGCAACTGCAGTTGGTGGACCGAGAGGTGGAAAGCATCCATGAAAAGGCTCAGCTTTCCTCACAGCTGATGGATCATCCAAATCAAGCTTTGCAATAAGGTCACCTGCCTGCAATTGAATAAGACTTTCAGCCTATGTATTTCCACACAACTGAGCATACATCTCCACTAAGTTCATTAGGATGGAGACTTTCCACCTATTTATTTTCACACAACTGAGCACACGTCTCCATTAATTTGTATGACTTAATGGTTTCCAAATAATGCATGGTGAGAGTTTCCAGTCAAGAAAAACAATAATTTCACCGAAAGAATGGGCATGGTTTTGATGATTAACCTGCATTGCTTGGCCCTCAGACATTCTGAAATGAATAGTCCCAGAAGCTGGTAGCAAGAGTGGCATGCACATCTTCATGACCTCCACCTCTGCGTAGGGTGTATCAGCATCCACATGGCTGCCATCAGGAACTAAAAAACGAAGCAGCTTGCATGGCGTCTCCGCCACCAATTTGGATGGATCATGATCATTCTGAATAAAAGCATCAAATACTCATAATTAGTTTTTACTTGCATTAAATGCATTACACAACCACGTATAGGGGAGGAAACTCGGACATTTAAAAACCAACTAGGCCAAATCCAAATGTAGCCTTGTACGAGGGGCATCTACGGTTATTACATCCATCCATTTACCAATAAGTAAATATGAAATATTCAAAAGAAATGTGGAACAGAACAAATTTCAACTGTTTCTTGGAAAATTCATGGACTAATGAATTTATGCAAAATGATTGACTAACCTGCAATAAGCAAGTCCTTCCATCAATTAGAAGGCGAGTACCAGCAGCCTCCTCTTCTGCATATATCACATGGCTATTTCCATCCAACTGTGACCGACAGAATTACATATCAACAGCTAAAATAATTGAAAAATTCTCCCACCATTAAATACAAAAGTTCAGATATAAGACGATAAGAAGTTCGGAAGAGTGAAAAATAAGTATTTGTAAAGGGAAAACAGTAGAAAATAAAAGAGTTTTTTCACTTCTCTGAATCTTATATCTACGAATTATTCTTGCAAAAAGAGCAACTATATTATTATTATTTTGGTCTTTTTAATGATGAAGCGACAAATGCAGGTTCCTTGGGAATGGGGCTAGGTCATGGTGGTAGTACCACCTGAGCCCCAGTTAAAGGTCATGACCCCCATTCTCACTAACGGATTCAAAAATCTCAAAAACGGGTAGGGGCTCGTCATCCTCACTGACTTAACCAAAAAAAAAAAAGGGGTTCCTCATTTTTCAAGAGCAGCAAATGTCAGTTCCTAAAGAGATGAAAGAAGAGGGACGGAAAAATAGATCAGATCGGTTACATACTTGCATTAGAAGACCACCATCACGCAGTGTATGAATCTCTGCTTCAATCTCTGACTGATTTATCTTTAGTCTATAACTACCTGGTCCTCCCTTTACTATTTCAATCTGTAGCAAAACACAACCAAGTCAGCCATTCTTTGATTATTTGAGAAAAGGAAAATTAATGAACCTAAAAAGAAACATGTATTATAACTCTTACTTATGGAATACATTACCGTATATTTACTTCCCTCAATATTCAGAGATACATGGGAATTGACCAGTGAAATGTGCTGCAAGTTCCAGGAGGGTCAGTATGACAGTCCTTGAAACCAAGGATGAAAAAGAGGAGGGGGGGGTGAGAGAGAGAAAGAGAGACACAGCTATCTACTTTTCTGCTTATTAGTTTCCTTTCATAACCCCTAATAATTATATAAGTGATTCGAGATGTACCTTTGGCGGAATCTGCCCCTTCTCAAGATAACCAACATAATCAGAAACGACGGCTGCACTGGTAGTTGATGCTTTCTGAGAGGAAGAGAGATAAGAATCAAAGAAACACTTATACATTATCCATTGTATTGAAAATTCTACAATCAACCATAACCGTCTTAGAATCTAATGGCTGCTAGAAAATTGGATATAAGCTTACAAATAGAGCCCCTCCCACAACTGAAAGGTACCAAGGAGGCCTTTCTGCTCTAACTCGCATTGCAATCCTACTATCCAGCCAACCAGTGTGAATCTTGTTCTCCCTATACTCTGAAGCCTGGCAAAATGATAAATCAATACACTCATTAAAGCATCAGCTGGTCAAGTAACTATCAAGTACAACTCCACCATGAATGAGGTCTCCACGTTCCCATGTTAATAGTTAATCATGAATGATTAGTTTCTATTGAACAGAAAACAAAGAAAGGAGAAATCAAATTCACGAATGATCAATTAAAGAAAAAAGATACCATAATCCATTAGACAACAGAAAACCATACTTATTTGTGTCATCAACATCCAATGAAATGGAGGTGATGGAGAGGTAATGCAACCCAATGTTTTGGTCTCTCCAGTTCATATGGGTCCTGATATCTCCATCATCGTCCATCATTACACTGGATAATGATGACCCTACTGGACTATGGTATAATGTCATTATCCATTGGGTTATTGATATACTTTGCCTTTGCTACATTGATTAAAAATGTAGCTTGGAAGCTTACATGCAGAAGATCTATAGTATAATCAACATTAGTACGGATCTCTCCTCGAATTTGAATTTCTTTTAGTCCAAGAACCATATTAGCTATGGCTAAGGCTCGAGACTCTCCAAAAGCAAAAACATGTCCTGAAAAGAAGCCATTATTATATGCATTAGCATATAAATAAGATTTCAACTGAAGTACACTAATCAAGAAAGTTCAAGAAATAGGGAGCCGTACTAACCAAATTGAGAGTCAGAAAATTCATGAATGCCTCCGCCAGACTGCAAACATGCAACATAAAATTAAGCATGTCTACAACTATGCTTTATGCTAAAGCACTTTAATTATACAAAATCAACGAGGTCTGAGACTGAGGATACATAGGAAACACTTTGCAACAATGACCTGGCAACCAAACATTAACATAAGATCGTACATGTTACAAGTTCCACATATATTAGAGACTGAATAAAATTTCTCCATCATTAATAAAAAGTATAAAAATAAGTCACCACTGGGTACTATTTTATAATTAAGGTACAAAGTACCAAAGCCATTATTCTGGCCATGAAAGTGATGCATACAATCAATCAGAATCAACACAAACAAAGAAATGATTGTTTCTAATAAACAGACAAATGCACATGAATGTACCAATATGAACCAGATTAAAACTGCCATCTATAACCAAAAAATATTTATGAATGAAGCTGCTTCACAAGTATACCTTCACAGAGAAATAAGCCCATACATTTGGCTTGCTTTTAAAACTTAATTCCTGCAATAGACCGTGAGCTCCAATCAATACTTGGGATAGAAGTTTTTTGAAGCATGCAAATGTTTTTAATTTTGATGCCAACCCAAAAGAGAAACAAGACTCAGCACAATTTTTTAACTACCAAAAAAAAGACAGCGCAATTTTAATTGCAATGCCTTTCTTAAGCATTCGTGATTTTGTTCTGAATCAAAAAATATATTGACTGAACAAAAACACCACAACTTTCTCTAGACCATTAAGCATGACCTGTACTTTCCCACTAGTAGGCTTAAACCCATCATCTGGATCTTCACTTGTCACACGCACAGCAACACAATGGCCTTTTGGTCTGACAGACTCTGCTAAGTCAAAATCAAATGGGGTTGCAGCAATCGATGTTTTCCTCCATGAGTCATACCCTCCACCAGCATCCATGCCATAGAAACGCCTTATTTCTGCAAAAAGGCAAAAAAATATGTTATTGGGTAGACCCACTAATTTTTTGTGCACCTGTTAGGAAATTTAGTCCCTATATGCCACGGAACACCATGGTCCACTGCGGTCCCGACCATCTATCAAAAATGATGGGGTGGTCGAGAATATACCCCACCAGAATAGGACATAACCGCAATCATTGGTGAGTCTCACACTCTCTCTCCATCATCATTCATCATTTTGATGGAATGACAAGACCCCAACGGACAATAATTTCCATAGTCCATTTGATTATGCTAAAAATTTTTATGCATAGGTGGTTTGTTTGAAATGTATTTTAACCCAATGCGTTTTTGTTTTCCATGGTAAGATACCATTAAAGAAGATAGCCATGAAATCATCAAACTCTTACCAGGAATCTGCCAAAGTGGAATACCCATTCCCACCGCAACCTGTGCTGCTGGTAAGTTTATTTCGGCTATCCATTCAGTGACAGGATGCTCCACCTACAAGATAAATATGAGAACTAGTTAGATTATTTTTATTCTTCATTGGTTATCAGATAGATGATATTCAATGGGACAATGATCCTTACAAACCTGTAAACGAGGATTGAGCTCTAAAAAATAGTATTCACCAGTATCCATGCTGTACAAATACTCAACGGTAGCTGCTCCTACATAATTTACACACTTTGCTAGCCTTCTTGCTGCCTGTTCTAATTGTTTCACTGTCTCAAGTGGGGCTACAGTAATTGGACCCTCCTCAATAATCTATCGAACATAAAAGGGGCATTCCAAAGCATCAATGTCTAGCATAATACTACCAAGTTAATAAGAGCAAGTTTTAAGACCACATTGCTTGATTTACAGATTTTACAGTCAAATTCAGTCTGACTGGCTGAGTTCACAGAGAATTCTGCCAAACTTTTACTAATATGATTTGTCTGAAACATGACTCCAAGCCTGAGTTTCAAAAACTAAATGTGCTTATCTGAACATTTTAATGGGTGATAGCTAATATAACCAAATTATAATTAGATGTCCAAATCAATGTGTTACTGTACTTCATCAATGTCACGATAGGCCACATGGACTTGGAGGAATTGAGCAACGTGGAAATGGAGAAATGTGACAAAACATGAAAAGTTGCCACTGAACTGCCAGAAATACGAATTTATCAACCAAAAGTGTTTACCTTTTGGTGCCTCCTCTGAACACTACAGTCACGGCTGTGCAAAGCTGCAACATTGCCATATTGATCACAAAGTAGTTGAACCTCTAAATGCCGACTCTGGAAGAAAAGGACGAGAACAAATAAGCCGATCACCAGTATAGAATCTAATATAGAAACCAACAAATAATGCAATTAAATCTGGTAAGGTCTTGTATGATGCATGCATTAGTGACCACTGCATGTCAGAATGTGCATGTATGAGACAGAGAGAGAATGTCAGTTGATGATGACCTTACCTGAGAAGCAACCTTCATAATAAATATTGGAGAGCCAGGAACTTCACCCTGAACTTGCTTAAATAAGGCCCTAACTTCATCATCATTATGAACCTATACATCCAAAAAACCGTGGTCTTAAACAATACAGCTCGGTTGATGGATGAGGTAAAACAAAACAAATCTGATGCAACACTTCTGAATATGTGAATTGGGCAGCAAGATGATTGCACGATACAATAATATAGGAGTTTCCTAGTGTTGGCACTGAATGAGTCGAGATCATAATTAGGGCTTTTAACCACTTGCTGCAGTTATTAACATTATTCAGATAATTGCAACTTCATGTATATTTCCACATTTTATATATCATTGTCATAAAAAATCTACTATCCTATAGTTAGACTTAATTACTGAGAGCTAAGAAATAATTGGTGGCAGATCACAAAACCTCCCAGTAAAATTAAAAGATCAAAACCTTAAAAGTGGCAGGCAGCAAACCTTTCTAATCCCTTTCCCGCCGCCGCCCCAAGATGCCTTGATCATAGCTGGATAGCCCACCACCTGGCAACTTGCTATGGCCTCTTCTGTTGTATGCACACAAGCTTCACGGTAAATTTCCTCTGGTATAGCATCCACGCAACTCTCAGAAGGAATTTGAACCTGGGATTAAAAAGTATTTGAATCATCACACTTGCAACCAACTTATATTACTCACAAATCTAGGTAGCCATTAGGCTCATCACTGTCCAAATGAAAAGACAGATGGTGATGAAGGAGTGCTGGGACTCACCAGAATGGAACATCACCCATATATATTGTTCCCATTCTCCATCACCGTCCATCATTTCATCTTTCAGTCAATTATTGAAGACTAACGCTCAACAGAAAGTTTCATTTTCATGGTCTATTCAGTTAAAACATACTTTCTCTTATTACAAATCCGAAACTAAAAGAATAAATCTTACATGTGAACCACTCCATGGAAGGGTGGGTACGCTTGCTGCTTGAGCTATCAAAGATGATCCAATTTTATCCCCAAGTGCTGCCATTGATATAGCAGGAGGTCCAAGGAACATAATTCCCCTTGCATCCAATGCATCAGGCAGCTCAGGATTCTCGGATGCATGTCCCCAACCAGGCCACACAGCAGAAACGCGTGTGCTCTCAGCTGTCTGTGAAAGGCTCAAAGATCAAAGCAAACTTCCATTAAATTGAATGAATGAATCAACAAATTGGTAATGAAAGTTGACTAGTTCATTAATAATATTAATTGGAAAATAATGCAGGAAGCAGTAAGGATATAATGAGAGTTAAACTCTTCGACCCAACATAATTGTATAGCTTAAGCAAAACCCAATCTGCTTAGTGGTTTCCAATGCAAACATTTATTTCTGAACCATAATATGGTTTCATAAAAGAATGCGATGTATTTTTTATTTGGGACAAAACATTTCAGTTTCGATAGATAGTTGTTCCCAACAATTTCCCCTAACAACTTGCACTGAGAACTTTTGGACAACAATGGAATGTTATGTTCCTACCCAATCCTTTCTTTTGGTAGTTGCAGTAATGTGAAGAATTATGGAGGGAGGGAGAGAGAGAGAGAGAGAGAGAGAGAGAGAGAGAGACGTCCACGTGACAATAAAGTAAAAAGGTAAAACGAACGAAAGAAAGAAACGACTATTACTAACTTACGAACGACTAGTAGGAGAGAGACTAAATAGTAGTACTTCTACTTACAATAATACAAG